TGACACCATGGTGACCATTCATATTGTAGGAACAATATTTTGAAGGACACACAGAAACTTGCAATGTTGGTTTCTTAGACTGGGTTCCTGCATGAGCAGATCAAGAACCAGGGTTTTGAGACCAAGTTTACTTGGGAGATGATCCCAAGAAACTCTATAGGAAACTTGGGAAGTGATCCAGAGAAGGGAAGTGAGGAAAGAAGTTAATACAGAGTGAATTAAAGAACAGATTGGAATCTGTAAATGGTAAACATGACTAATGCACTCAGCTAGTAGCTAGGAAGTTCTGGTGGCATTGTGTTCCATGGGAGGAAGATGGGACAATCTACTCCAGTAAATATTTACAGCCTTGGAAATCCAATGGTAATGGGTTTTGCTAGCTGAAAGGTTGGGGATTTGAGTCTAAGACATTTCACTGCTACCCAGAAAACCGGTGGTTCAAACCCACCAACCACTCCTTGGAAAGATGACTGGGCAATGTACTTGCATAGAGATACCACCTCTGACACACAAGGTAGGGTCACCATGAGTCAGAACTGACTCGATGGCTGTGTTTGTTTTGTTTTGTTTTGTTTTGTTTTCTGAGAGGTACCTTGGAAAAACCTAGAGATCAACTTACAAAAAAAAAAAAAGAGGAACCACTGAGAGCTCTATGGAGTACAGTTCTACTCCAAAACACATTAACTGGTAACTCATGGTCATGAGCAAATTATTCCTGGGAACAGCTCAGACTCATTCCTGTTGACAGCGTCTGGAAAACACACCCCTCACTGGAGGAGAAGAAGCCAGCATTCATCCACAAACTCCAATCAATTGGTCCAGGCTGCTTCTGAGACTGTAACTATCCTACATTGGCCTGCCCAGAGCTTGCTCCTTCATCTAGAGATAATCCTCGGGCAGAGCCCAGCTGCTTGCAAAAGAAAGCATCTTTCTGTACCAGAATGGACAGCAGTGAGCAAATAAAAGTGGGACCCCTGAAGTCATCTACCACAGTATACTTTTCCTGCAGAGAAGAACAGCAGAACAATTGACATCTGAGGATGACAGTTCAAGGAGGAAAAATAATGAGACACCATGCACTTGTATTTCTATGACTGGAAAGTTATGATTTATTTAAGAAGCAGGAGAAAATTTGGCAGGGAACAAATAAGTAATTGGGGTGACATGTTAGTTGGCAGATTTCAGAGGAAATTCACAGTTTGTGTTGATTTGGGAGAGAGAGAGTAACATGAAGGAGGCAGTGTATTTGGAGGCCAAATTCAGTCTAAGAATGAGTGGCACTGAGGTTTCACAGTAGGCTGCACATGATTCAGCTCACAGGTGGATGACAAGAAATTGGTTGATGAAAAGCAGGTGGACGCAGGTCAGAGTGCTCAGCAGCAAGAAGCACTAGAGCAGGTTGGGCGGCAGCAGGTGGTTTGGCAGCAGACTGGGCGGCAGCAGGTGGACACACAGCAGCTGGGGCGGCAGCAGGTGGTCTGGCAGCAGACTGGGCGGCAACAGCTGGAGATGCAGCAGGTTGGCCTGCAGCAGCTGGAGCCACAGCTGCTAGAACCACAGCA